AAAAAAAAAAAGTTTGTATAATAAATAATAATTCAGCAAAAATATGGAACTAAATTTGCCTTTGATTTGAAAGTCACTGGTTCTTTTTTTGTTAACACTTTCTCAAGTGAATGGGGGGACACAATTCAGTTTTTGTTTAAGTAATGCTCCTTGAAATGTTTCTAGTTTGTATAATTCACTTTCCAATTTTTCTCGTGGCATATAACAGATAAGGCGACTTTTTGTTGCGATGTTGGCCCCAATGCTCAAACTTGTGTACTTCTCTCCCTAAGTTACAATAGATACGGTAATTGTCCTTATGATTTATTCATCTTTGGTCAGTGTAATAAGATTGGAAAATCCGTATTTTGTGTGACAAACGGTTATAAATGAGATGCACTTCCAGCAGAAATGTGTGGAGGAATGATAGGAGATGACCTCATTACAAACAGTATGACTTTTAATACTTGTCCTAGTCTAGAAGCAGTATCAAACACTTTGAAAGGACCGAAAACTATGACAGAATTCACATGAATGTGTTGCAGTGATAATAGTTGTTTTGTGCCCACAAATGTGATGTTAAGTTTACCAACTTTTAACATTAGTTGTGCTGCTAACCAGTACAGCCTAGTATGTTTTTTTATGATAGTGGCGGTTGAACCTGTACTGGTAGCTTGGGCAAAAATATCAGTACTTATCCTCCCGATAATTCTAATCCTATTATTGGTACGTGCGTATTGCAGTCTTCAAACAATTCGCTAACACCAGGAACAACTTAAACTTTAACAAAAACAGAAATAGCAAAGGTTAATGAATCAATGCCTGCCTGACAAGGTGCTTTAATTGGAGTTGGTTCTACAATAGGTGCAATATTAACAGCAACAGGAATTTATTTATGTTGAATCAAAAGAACTGCTGCAGTATTGTTAATTCCGGGAAATAGTTAAAAATTAAGTTTCTCGTAGTAATTTGCTCAAGCTTTGTGTGAATGTGACTCTAACAAAAATGGAGAAAAAGAACCAGTTAGGGGATAAAAAAAGGGAGAAAACCAGAAAAGAACCGAATTAGAGCAAAAACAATTAAAACATGTGAGAAATTTTGCTTCACTGCACTATAGTTGGCGAAAAGGCAAGGCAAAAATTAACTAAAAAGCAGAAATAACATTGCAAAAATAGATGGGATGCTTTGCCAAAACTTAAATAAAACTGTAAAATCAATTAACAAGTAATGATTATGAAATCGAACAAAAATAACCAAAAATCCTTTAAAGAAGTATTAGCCGAAATAGAAAGTCCACAAGATATTGGAAAAGGCTCGTGAGATTTACCAGAAAATCCTACCCCTTCCCAAATAGTCAAGTACGAACTTTGCGAAAAAATTTTGGGTTACCAGGAGGACAATAATTTATCTGATAAAGAAATCGCCGAACGAATTAATTTATCTTTACTAAAAACCGAGGATATTTTATTTACCCGTATCGAAAAAGTAAATTCTGACGAGTTAATAAATGCCGTTAGTAAATTATTTTCTTCGGCTGAAATAAAAGTAATTGTGGAACAAAAAAAGGATAATTCTCATGTCTGAGTGGTTTAAGTTAATTGAGGACAAGTTTTCCGAAAAAGATAAGGAAAGACAATGAACTTACTCGTGCTTATTCCCTTTTACTTTTAAAAAACGGACTATCACCGAGATTACCATTACCGACCACTTCTTAAACAAGAAAGGTCGAGAGTGAATTACTAAAGAATTCATTCTTAACCTCTTAAAAGCAAAAATTAACGGGAGAAAGAGAATGAAACCACGAACTAAACACAACATACGTGATATTTACGTTCGTGAAAGAGTTTTGTATCAAAATCAAAAATATCGCTTAATTTTTTGATTCAAAGACCACACCACCGATCATTTATGAGTGAGAAATTGCCACCCCCAAGATTAAAAAAGCTTGGGAGGTTGCTTTTAACCTTTTGTTTTTATGCGAGTATACTTTTCCAAAAAAGCTGAACTTAATTTTGCACACCGTAAAACAAAAAAATCTAAATAATGGCTATGTGGATAAAACTCAAAAGTACACAAGGGTTGAAAAAATACCCCGCGATAATACTATTTAAAAAAAGATTTACCACTGAGATATTACCGATCGCAAGAGAAAACAAATCTGGCCTTATGAACCAAAGCACAAACACAAAAAACCTTAAACCTTATAGCCATTATCAAAATACGGAGGAATGAGCCATTATTGCTCATTTGTTAGAGGAGTTAATTAATTGCTTGTGAAAATTTAAATATTCTTGGTATCGAGGATTATAATCGTGTCCTTCTCATTCTTGATATTTATCTATCACTTTTTGATGTTCTTCATAATAATTTAGCAACT